CCCCACTGAATATAACCATCACAACACTATTGTGTGTGGTCCCAGTAATTATAACACTCACAACATTACTTGTGTGTGGCCACAGTAATTATAACACTCATAGCACTACTTGTGTGTACACAGTAATTATAACACTCACAACACTATTTGTTGTGGCCCCCACTGATTATAACAACCACAACGCTACTTGTGTGTGGCCCTGCAGGATTATAACACTGAACACTACTTGTGTGTGGCCCCACTGATTATAACACTCACAACACTACTTGTGTGTGGCCCCACTGATTATAACACTCACAACACTACTTGTGTGTGGCCCCCACTGATTATAACACTCACAAAACTATTGTGTGTGGTCCCACTGATTATAACACTCACCACAACACTACTGTGTGTGGCCCCCACTGACTATAACACTCACAAACTATTGTGTGGCCCCACTGATTATAACACTCACAACACTACTTGTGTGTCGCCCCACTGAATTATACCACAACACTACTTGTGTGTGGCCCCACTGAAAATAACCATCACAATACTACTTGTGTGTGGCCCTGACTGAAAATAACCACCACAGAACTACTGTGTGTGGCCCAAGTAATTATAACACTCACAACACTACTTGTGTGTGGCCCCACTGATTATAAACTAACAACACTACTTGTGTTTGGCCCCACTGACTATAAAACTAACAACACTACTTGTGTGTGGCCCCTGCTGATTATAACACTCACAACACTACTTGTGTGTGGCTCCAGTAATTATATCAACTCACAACACTACTTGTGTGTGGCCCCTTCTGATTATAACACTACAACACTACTTGTGTGTGGCCCCATTGATTATAACACTCACAACACTACTTGTGTGTGGCCCCAGTAATTATAACAACTCACAACACTACTTGTGTGTGGCCCAACTGATTATAAAACTCACAACACTACTTGTGTGTGTGCCCACTGATTATAACACTCACAACACTACTTGTGTGTGGCGCCCACTGATTATAACACTCACAATACTACTTGTGTGAGGCCCCACTGATTATAAACTAACAACACTACTTGTGTGTGGCCCCAGTAATTATAACAACTCACAACACTACTTGTGTGGCCCCACTAATTATAACGCACAACACTAAAATGTGGCACCCACTGGATTATATCACCACAACACTACTTGGTGTGTGGCCCCACTGATTATAAAACTAGCAACACTACTTGAGTGTGGCCCAGTAATTATAACACTCAATACTACTTGTGTGTGACCCCACTGATTAAAAAACAAACAACACTACTTGTGAGTGGCCCAAGTAATTATAACACTCACAACACTATTTCTGTGTGGCCCCCACTGATTATAACACTCCCAACACGTCTTGTGTGTCCCCTACTGATTATAAAACTAGCAACAATATTTGTGTGTGGCCCCCACTGATTATAACACTCAGCACTACTTGTGTGTGGCCCCACTGATTATAACACCAACACTACTTGTGTGTGGCCCCACTGATTATAACACTCCCAACACGTCTTTGTGTCCCTACTGATTATACAACTAGCAACACTACTTGCGTGTGGGCCCCCACTGATTATAAAACTAGCAACACCACTTGAGTGTGGCCCCAGTAATTATAAACTAACAACACTACGTGTGGCCCCCACTGATTAAAAACAAACAACACTACGTAGAGTGGCCCAAGTAATTATAACACTCACAACACTACTTGTGTGGCCCCCACTGATTATAGCACTCACACCTACTTGTGTGTGGCCCCACTGATTATAACACCTCACAATATCGTGTGTGGCCCCACTGATTATAACACTCATAACACTACTTGTGTGTGGCCCCACTGATTATAACACTCATAACACTACTTCTCAGGCCCCAACTGATTATAACACTCACAACACTACTTGTGTGTGCACCACTTAAAATAACCATCACAATACTATTTTGTGTGGCCCGAATGAAATAACCACCACAGAACTACTTGTGTGTGGCCCAAGTAATTATAACACTCACAACACTACTTGTGTGTGGCCCCACGATTATAAAACTAACAACACTACATGTGTATATCCCCAGTAATTATAACACTTAAAACACTACTTGTGTGTGGCCCCACTGAATATAGCAATCACAACACTGCTTGTCTGTGGCCCTAGTACTTATAACAGTCACAACACTACTTGTGTGTGGCACCCACTGGATTATAACACTCACAACACTACTTGCGTGTGGCCCCACTGATTATATAACTAGCAACACTACTTGAGTGTGGCCCCAGTAATTATAACACTCACAATACTACTTGTGTGTGACCCCACTGATTAAAAAACAAACAACACTACTTGTGAGTGGCCCAAGTAATTATAACACTCACAACACTATTTCTGTGTGGCCCCCACTGATTATAACACTCCCAACACGTCTTGTGTGTCCCCTACTGATTATAAAACTAGCAACACTACTTGCGTGTGGCCCCCACTGATTATAAAACTAGCAACACCACTTGAGTGTGGCCCCAGTAATTATAAAACTAACAACACTACTTGTGTGTGGCCCCCACTGATTAAAAAACAAACAACACTACTTGTGAGTGGCCCAAGTAATTATAACACTCACAACACTATTTCTGTGTGGCCCCCACTGATTATAACACTCCCAACACGTCTTGTGTGTCCCCTACTGATTATAAAACTAGCAACAATATTTCTGTGTGGCCCCCACTGATTATAACACTCAGCACTACTTGTGTGTGGCCCCCACTGATTATAACACTCCCAACACGTCTTGTGTGTCCCCAAGTGATTATAAAACTAGCAACAATATTTGTGTGTGGCCCCACTGATTATAACACTCAGCACTACTTGTGTGTGGCCCCACTGATTATAACATTCACAACACTACTTGTGTGTGGCCCCACTGATTATAACACTACAACACCACTTGTGTGTGGCCCAGTAATTATAACACTCAGCACTACTTGTGTGTGGCCCCACTGATTATAACACTCACAACACTACTTGTGTGTGGCCCCACTTTATAACACTGATGATTATAACACTCACAACACTACTTGTGTGTGGCCCCCACTGATTATAACACTAAACACTACTTGTGTGTGGCCCCCACTGAAAATAACCATCACAATACTACTTTTGTGTGGCCCGACTGAAAATAACCACCACAGAACTACTTGTGTGTGGCCCAAGTAATTATAACACTCACAACACTACTTGTGTGTGGCCCCAGTAATTATAACAACTCACAACACTACTTGTGTGTGGCCCCAACTGATTATAAAACTCACAATACTACTTGTGTGTGGCCCCCACTGATTATAAAACAAACAACACTACTTGTGTGTGGCCCCAGTAATTATAACAACTCACAACACTACTTGTGTGTGGCCCCACTAATTATAACTCACAACACTAAATGTATGTGGCACCCACTGGATTATAACACTCACAACACTACTTGCGTGTGGCCCCCACTGATTATAAAACTAGCAACACTACTTGAGTGTGGCCCCAGTAATTATAACACTCACAATACTACTTGTGTGTGACCCCACTGATTAAAAAACAAACAACACTACTTGTGAGTGGCCCAAGTAATTTTAACACTCACAACACTACTTGTGTGTGGCCCCACTAATTATAACTCACAACACTAAATGTATGTGGCACCCACTGGATTATAACACTCACAACACTACTTGTGTGTGGCCCCCACTGATTATAAAACTAGCAACACTACTTGAGTGTGGCCCCAGTAATTATAACACTCACAATACTACTTGTGTGTGACCCCAATGATTAAAAAACAAACAACACTACTTGTGAGTGGCCCAAGTAATTATAACACTCACAACACTATTTCTGTGTGGCCCCCACTGATTATAACACTCCCAACACGTCTTGTGTGTCCCCTACTGATTATAAAACTAGCAACAATATTTGTGTGTGGCCCCCACTGATTATAACACTCAGCACTACTTGTGTGTGGCCCCCACTGATTATAACACTCACAACACTACTTGTGTGTGGCCCCCACTGATTATAACACTCACAACACTACTTGTGTGTGGCCCCAGTAATTATAACACTTACAACACTACTTGTGTGTGGCCCCCACTGATTATAACACTCACAACACTACTTGTGTGTGGCCCCACTGATTATAACACTCCACAACACTACGTGTGTGTGGGCCCCACTGATTATAGTAGCACTCAGCACTACTTGTGTGTGGGCCCCCACTGATTATAACACTCAAACACTACTTGTGTGTGGCCCCACTGATTATGCAACACTCACAACACCACTTGTGTGTGGCCCCCACTGACTATAGCACTCAGCACTACTTGTGTGTGGCCCCCACTGATTATAACACTTACAACACTACGTGTGTGTGGCCCCCACTGATTATATAGCACTCACAACACTACTTGTGTGTGGCCCCACTGATTATAACACTCACAACACTACTTGTGTGTGGCCCCCACTGATTATAGCACTCAGCACTACTTGTGTGTGGCCCCCACTGATTATAACACTTACAACACTACGTGTGTGTGGCCCCCACTGATTATAGCACTCACAACACTACTTGTGTGTGGCCCCCACTGATTATAACACTCACAACACTACGTGTGTGTGGCCCCCACTGATTATAGCACTCATATATGCTCTACAAGATTACCATTTAAGATAGATTTTGTGTTTTGTATTATTATTATTATTATTATTATTATTATTATTATTATTATTATTATTATTATTATTATTATTATTATTATTATTATTATTATTATTATTATAATAAATAACAATGGTACCAATTCGGTAACAAAGTATATCTTTTGATTATATATTCAGATAAAAAACAACTATGCAAACTATATTCTTTTCCTGGTAAAATTTGGCATTCAATCTACGAGAATATTGTTCAAATTTAGTCAAGGCGTCGTTAATAAATTCAAGTAATTACTGAACACCAATCAATTGCACGCAACCCATTTTAGATGAATTTTCCTTGCTGGAGAGAACTCTGTTGATGCCTTTGTTGCTGGTGGTGAGCTGTGGTGGCTTGGTATTTTGAGGTGGTTTAGAAGAAGTGTCCCTAGAGCCCCGGGATGTGGAAAGTCTGTCGTGTACAGGGCTCTTATACACCAACAGAGGGGAGAGGCTGCTCCTGGGCATGAAGCTGGTCTCCTCGTCTGCTGCCGTCGCTATGGGCACCACAGCGTGTGACAGGGCTGCGGAAAGGGCGTGCGAGATACTTCTTTGTGGTGTGAAGATATGTGGTATTTATTCAGTAGAAATTGCGAGAGCAGTTAGAATTAAGAAACTAAATCCTTCATGCAGCGTCTATTTGTATTGATGTTACGACCTTTAATGAACTATATAACAGTGCTGAATCTGTTATTAGAAATGATTATCTTCAATAATTAATGAATAAAAATGTACTAATATTGTGTCTTCCTAAAAATTAACAACAGATACCTTACAAGCGTGTGTTTATATCACCATAATGATATCATTGGTCGATATAAATTTTGGATACCTAAGGTTTATTTGCCTTGTACGTATAGAAAGATACAAAAGTAAACGCCAGGCAATCTCAGCCCTTTGTACGTGATAAGAGGGTCTTCATAAATATATATAAAATAATTATCATTATATTTGGTCATCCATCAAACACTGTTTAGCATAAACTCATAGCTTCAAGTTTTATCAAAGTGTTATAAGACGATGAATTAGGATAAATACGTAGCTAAAAAATGGTCAGAGGAGTAAGATAAAATTTTTTTGGTAAGGTGATGATAATTAATTCTCTAGAATTGTCTTTTCAATCATCATAATTTATTGCTTCTTTCTCCCCCATTTCTAAATAAACTCCTTAGCTACAATGAATTGAATGATCGCAGACTAAGTTATTGTTATTTATGTCATATCTGTGTTTTGAAAATATGATCAGAATACTTATAGTTGCTATTTACATATTTATCAATAGTTTTAGATATCTGTATTATCGATCCTCATGAATCAAGTCCACCACTAATGACGCAACGCATCACTGTACAGGTACAGACATCAGTCACGCGCCAATCAGTATAAAATTCACAGAATTCGCTATAAGCAAACTAACTGAGAGTTTAACTTTTCTTACCTGCCATCTTTGACTGGTGGGTAGAGGAGGCAGAACTAATCAATACCCGCATGGGATTTCTCGCCGAGGTGGGACGCAGTCTGGAGGATTTTGAAGCTTGCGATGAAATGGAACAGGAAGGGTTGCTCTGTGACCCGTTAAACAAGTTCTCCAACTCCTCACTCTCATCATTACTGTCATTTTGTTTGTATTTATCTTCAACATCGTGTTCATCTTGCTCAAGTTTTTCCCCGAGGTCCTCTACAATTTCGTTTTCTTCACTCACAGAATTTTCAAGATCTTCGCTTTCACTGTCGTAACGTTCTTGGGACACTTCGGAGGAATTTTTTTTATCAACATTGGCAAGAGACTTCTCTTCGTAACTGGAAGTTTTACTCTCATCGACACTTGCATCTCGAGAGTCGGGAGATGAATTACGTTCTCTCTTTTTATTATCATCACTAACATCATCAAAAAAATCATCACTACTTAAACTTGACATTGTACAAAGCGATGGGAAGAAGTTTCACGCTTAAGCAATACATTTAAAAGATCGACAGCGCAGAAATGCAGTGTAGACATTACCAGAGCTTACGAACATATAACCAGGTTGGGAAAGTTTAAAGAATTTCAAAGTGATATTCAATTATGACAATAATTTCTTGATATCTGGACTATTTCTTAGTACTTTATTATAATGATAACTTTTTGGGTCTGCTCCATTATAAATTATATCATATGCATTGATATATATCAAATACCCAACACGGATGTATTATTGATCCACTTTCCTTGTCGCTTTGTTGACAAGTGTTGTCATGGAAACGCGTGGCTCGGTGACGTCATACAATGTTTGAATGTTGCTATATTACTTTATTTGTGCCTTACTTATATAGTAGCCATTCTGATTTTCTAGCTACATCATCACTGAAAATAATTCGTTTATGGTAAAATTTGCTCACTTTCATTTAAGACGTCTTTTAAGATATGTATAAACTATTCATTTATAGTAATACGAGTATCTACTAGATCGTTATTGTTTACTGACAAGTTCCTAAGAAAAATATATAAGACCTCGCTAATCAGCAATAATCCCTATTTAATACTGAATTATATATATATATATATATATATATATATATATATATATATATATATATATATATATATATATATATATATATATATATATTTTTTTTTTTTTTTTTTTTTTTTTTTTTATAGTGTCAGTATATATAATCAACACCTCACCCCGCCAGGATTTGAACCCACGATCTTATCACGATCTTATGACTGTGACCGGGGAACATTACCTCTGGGCCACCAGGACACTAAAAGCAGTCCTAGACTCTGTTATATTTCACACAAAGCCTGTTCAACGAGCTTATGGCACCGTGAACCTCTAATGGGGACTACCTGTGCCTCTTAGGTGATCAGAGTAACGTTTTACCAAATCTGACTTCTAAACACGAGGATCCATATATATTTCATTAGCCCAATAAAGCACGCGGACTTATACATATGTAGAAGTCCGCGTGCTTTATTGGGCTAATGAAATATATATATATATATATTGTTACGAACCCCTCCACCCAGCACTACGAACCACGCCATCTATTGTCCTGATCTACCTACCCAGCACCACGAGCAACGCCATCTAGGGACGAGACACGAGTATGACTCGTCTTAGTTAACACTCCGGGGTTTCCCTTCTCCATATCCTGGTTGTTGCGTCACTTCCTCCAAGTCTTCTTTGTGAGCTCCAATTCGAGGAGAGAGCACTTGGCTCTGGGAAGTGACCACAGGATCATCTATCCTCTAAACCTACGGTGCAGTGACTACCTACCGTCTTCTACAATACTCAGCCTTACTCGTCAGCCATCTCAGCTCCTCACTTAAGTATTTGTATCTTGTATTGCCTCCCCCACGTCCACTTGCTTCAAAATTGTTTATGTTGTATTAATATGTATATATTGTTAATGTTTAGGTTAAGTTTGGTTAAGGGTAATTTATAAGCTGAATATTTTGTTTAGGGATTTATGGTACTCTATTATACACAACGAAAACTCGCATCCTTTGTCTACCCTTTTATAGTCCGATTGTCTTTGTTTTTTTTGTTTTTTGTTACCTGTTGGGATCTGGGTAGACGTATAACTATATTCTAAATCCCCAACTCGTAACAAATGGCGACCGTGACAGGACATGACCTTAAGTACCATATTCCTACCTCCCTTGTTACTCAGTGTTAATTATTCCTCCCAGTCACTTCTGTTCACAATTGCTTTACGGTGGTTTAAAGTTTCCTTCATATGTGTGTGCATATATTGGTATTATCGTACAGTAAGAGTGACAGCCGTAGGATATTAGGTTCCAAGTGTCATAAGGCTTACCTGTTATTTCACGTGGCAGTCGTGTAGTAAGTCTTATCGAGTGTAGGGAAGAATCTGGATCTGTTTAATGCCGTACCCTCACTCCAGAGTAGGCTGTTCCATAGTCACTAGTTTACGGTGAAGTGATATCTTGGGACGCCCCGCTCTACCAGGACCCCATAATTATAAAGCCTCAATTATTGTTCTTCTCATTATCTCATTCAGGGTCAATCATACCATTTATCAGGGTTGTTAATCCGGATCTTTATATTAATGCCGTAATACGCCCTTCCTCTTTCAAGTATATCAGGCTTGTTAATCCGGATCTTTATATTAATGCAATAATACGCCCTACCTCTTTCAAGTCTCTTATCCTTATCTAAGGATCTTCTCAGAAGAACAATAATCATAAGTGTAATTTCCCTAGGTATAACTTGGTTAGTTTCTGGGACTTTCTGGTTATCCACTGTCGTGATATTTTCTAGGGTTATCCACTTATCTTATCTTTTGACCATTAGTTAATTTATCCTATTTTTCTTAACAATGGCCACCTCAGGTTTTGATCTCCAGGATTTTATTGAAAATCCTTCCGTAGCTAAATTACGTGTTAATATCCTGAAGAAAGAATGGAAAGAAATACCCAACTATTACAATATCCCATTTTCACAGCAACTGTCTAAGGAAATGTTAAAAAATCATGTGATTGAAGTGTTGGTTCAACAAGAAGTTTTAAAAGAATCCGCTGTTGACAGATTAACGCCCATGTCCAAGAAACTTCAACCACTATCCACCACCCCTCATCACTCAGAAGTTGCCTCAGGTCTGGCTAGCCCTCAAGAAGAAACACAAGGAGTAGACGCCTTAGAACTAGAACGAGCAAGGTTCGAGTTCCAAATCAAAATGAAAGAACTCGAGTTGGAACAGGACAAGTTGGAGCAGGAGGTTAGACTGAAAGAACTACAGGTGAGAGAGACAGAAGTCACCTTAACATCGGAGTTTAAATCTAAAGAAGTGGCATTAAAAGAGAAACTAGCTGCTTTTAACCCTGCTACTGCTTCTTCCCTTGTTCCCGGGTTTGATGAATCCGATATGGACGGGTCATTTAGAACTTTTGAGAAAATAGCCGGGAAGAATGAGTGGCCAAAGGACCAGTGGGTGTCAGTGTTAGTTCCTAAATTATATGGTAAGGCTCGTAGAGTTTATAACTGTTTAGACCAGACTGATGACTATGATAACGTAAAAAAACAAACAAAGACAATCGGACTATAAAAGGGTAGACAAAGGATGCGAGTTTTTGTTGTGTATAATAAAGTACCATAAATCCCTAAACAAAATATTCAGCTTATAAATTACCCTTAACCAAACTTAACCTAAACATTAGCAATATATACATATTAATACAACATAAACAATTTTGAAGCAAGTGGACGTGGGGGAGGCAATACAAGATACAAATACAAGATACAAATACTTAAGTGAGGAGCTGAGATGGCTGACGAGTAAGGCTGAGTATTGTAGAAGACGGTAGGTAGTCACTGCACCGTAGGTTTAGAGGATAGATGATCCTGTGGTCACTTCCCAGAGCCAAGTGCTCTCTCCTCGAATTGGAGCTCACAAAGAAGACTTGGAGGAAGTGAGCAACAACCAGGATATGGAGAAGGGAAACCCCGGAGTGTTAACTAAGACGAGTCATACTCGTGTCTCGTCCCTAGATGGCGTTGCTCGTGGTGCTGGGTAGGTAGATCAAGACAATAGATGGCGTGGTTCGTAATGCTGGGTGGAGGGGTTCGTAACACACCCCCTCCAAAGACCTCCGTAGCGCGGCGCGAAGGAGGTGATCACCTGGTGCGTCTGGAGAGTAGCTGCTGCATTTCCACTGGAGCTCGGGATAAGGAGTCTGCAATCAGGTTGTCCACCCCCTTTATGTGCCGGACTTGTAGATTATAGGGCTGGGTGAGGAGAGCCCAGCGGAGGATTCGCTGGTTGGAGGTCTTGTTGGTTTGGATGAACGTGAGTGGGTTATGGTCGGTGAAGACTAGGGTTGTTTGTGGGCAAGACTGGAGGTAACATTCAAACTTCTTAATTGCCAACACCAGAGCCAGTCACTGTCTCAGACTCCTACCCTTACCTTTGATTGAAGATATAATAGACAGCATAGGCTGTGCCAAATATCAGTACGGTGGACTTATTGAAAGGATATTATCAAGTGGGACTTACGGATAGGGCAAAAATAATCTCGGCATTTATAACTCCATTTGGTCTTTTTCAATATTTGGTTATGGCGTTTGGCTTTTCTAATGCTCCGGCCACATTCTAGAGGGCCATCAACTACCTTATTCAGGACCTAGGTGGGACGTTCGCCTACCTGGATGACCTGGTGGTGGTGTCGGACAGCTGGGACGAACATCTGGTGCGTTTGGAGATACTGTTTGCACGACCGTATTGAGACTGGATTCACCATAAACCTGGCTAAATCTGCTTTTGGCCGGGCCTTCGGCAGGACTTACTCCAGATATATCGTTGGGCAAGTGGTATGTAGAGACCTGAAGACTAAACGTTAGAGCCATCTTGTCCTTCCCCACTCCAAGGACGAGGAAGGAACTCATGCGCTTCCTGGGGATGTGCGGCTACTACCGTCGGTTCTGCAGTAACTTCTCCAGCGTGGCCGGACCCCTCACAGACCTTACCAGTTCTGCGGTCCCTTACATCTGGAACCAGAGGTGTGACCAGTCTTTCCACCGCCTCAAAGCCTTCCTTGCCTCCAAGCCTGTAGTCCACCCCTCTGACTACACTTTGCCCTTCCATCTGCAATTGACGCTAGTGGTGTCGGAGTTGGGGCTGTGCCCTTGCCAACCCGACGCAACCACTGATGTGTTCTTCACCCTGTGTATATTACCCCGCCAAGTTGAAAAACATCAGACCAACTACTCGACCATAGAGAAGGAGGCCTGGCTCTGGTGTTGGGTACAAGAAGTTTGAATGTTACCTCCAGTCTTGCCCACAAACAACCCTAGTTCACCGACCTCATAACCCACTCACGCTCATCCAAACCAACAAGACCTCCAACCAGCGAATCTCTCCGCTGGGCTCTCCTCACCCAGCCCTATAATCTATGTAAGTCTGGCACATAAAGGGGTGGACAACCTGATTGCAGACTCTTATCCCGAGCTCCAGTGGAAATGCAGCAGCCACTCTCCAGACGCACCAGGTGAT